GGGAAAGATAAACTGATTCTGTTCTGCACAGACAATACATATAAATCCTAAGTAATGGCAACTCTCTGAAGGGATTATTTGAATGAAAAGATAGAAATCATTACCTAATATTAGGCTGCCACACTTTCGATCTTTCCTGTGACTGACCATACTGATATTCTTTTTGTATGCAAATAGAGCTTGATATGGAAAAAACATTTTGTAGGTAGTTTTAAAATCACTTTTTAACCTGTGAATTAGGTACAAAGATCAACATGGAAACTATTTACTAGGAAAAAAAAGAATGAAATACCTTACACATCTTTGTTAACACAAATACCTACTGAAAAGTAAGAAGCAGATATTGGGCGACTCTGACACACTGGCCTCTCTGTCTATATCCAGATCCCGGAGGGCACCATTCCCACTGATGCATGTCAGGAATTTCCTTCTGTTTCTTCCTGTATCATCCCCATCACTAAGATGGTGCCATCTGGCATCCAGATATTGTCTGCCTTCTTTTTTTCCTCTTTTTATGGCTTGCACCAGGGTTATTCATGGTAATATGTTAAAAGCTGGGCATGACACAAAAGCAAACATACAAAAGCAATTTCCAAGAGTTGGAGACATTTCTTTTAAACAACCTCCCCTCTATGCATGAAACCTATTTCGCTACACACAGGAAAGCTCCACGCCTTTCTAATCATGACTGCTGCTCTTTCTGACTCTTCCTTTCATGTTGTGCTGGTGTAATGACCTCCAGTCAAAGAGGTCAGACAGAACGCTGTGGCTTCTCCCTTACATAATATATGTCTAAGGAATGGTGAATGGTCATTTCAGAGGCGGATCACAATAGCAGCACAACACATAGGACAACATAGGACAACAAGGAATTCTCACCTTATACCTTTGTCCTACCAAAGATCACAATACTTTCTTTCCAGTGTAGAATATTTCATACTAGTTCTGCCAAAAGTTAACACTTAATGGAATTTATCATAATTTGTGCAGCAAACCAGACAACACAATCATAACAGTTGCCTCTAGCCTTCAAGTGCCTGAATCACTTATGAATAATTCTTTGAGCAGCAGAACTAATGAGAACTGATTTAACATGGATTTATTTTTGAAGATTAAGCACTGAAGTGGATTCTCTGGTGATTCTTAAGGACTGAGATCACTTAGAAGTCATTTGGGGATTTAATAGTTTATCATTTTTCTACCTAGCCATCTAGTTCTATGAAATATGTGGTAAGCAACTACCACTGAATTTCCTGGTGAATATTAACCTTATTTGACAGATGGGTAAAGTTCTCAGTGACAACTTTATTCCTCTGACAAATTCAGTTAATAACAATAAATTCAGAAATTACTGAGGGGAGAGGAAGGCAACTGACAGACAGACATATACAGACAAAATTAAACCTTCAGACTTGCTTCCTTTGGAAATTCCTTAAGAAATAAATAATGGACAGCACTAGATGCAGGTGAAATAAACACGAGGCAATTGCTGTCCTTGCACCACATATTAGAGATTATAAATTATTATGATTATAAATTGCAGGTAGATGGAAAATGTGACAAAAATGTTTAAGTTCATAACTCACAGTATGCAATTTCGTACCAAAAATCTCAATCAATAGAAAGTTACAAAAGTCACAAGACTAGATATTCACAAATATGGGATCTCAATATGTTCCAGAAATTTGGCAAGAATATTTAGCTTTGGCTTTTAGACATCTGATCAAAAGTAAACAAAGGACAAAGAGTTGCTTGTAGATGGGGACTGCTGATCCAAAGAATGATAAGGAAGAAAGCTTGACAGTGCAAGGGAAAAAAGTCTCATCTACCAGCTGTGAAGAATGAAACTGTTTGCAGAAGAGAGTGGAGGCAATGATTTGATGGCTTAAGACAGCTCTGCAAGGGTATCAGACAAAGTATCAAAAATGAATCCTTACTGACAATTGCTTGTGTGCAGCCATAAAATAAGTAAATGTTGCATCAATACAGAGTGATGAAGAAAATCACGTAAGCATAGCTTCTCTGAAGAAATTTCCAGCATCTTGCGTCATATTCAAGCAAACACTGAACAACACAACACTGCCTCTTCAACAAATAGCTTACCATACTATAGGAGGCCCTCCAATAAGCAGAAGGACCTCCAGCTTTACGACTGTCTCCCTTTTGCCTCTGTTCCACTTCTTTTCCCCTCCTCCCGGGCAACTAGCCTGTCCTGCCCTGCTGAGCTGGTAAGTGGGGTTTCAAAGAAAACATCTTGCTCCCTGAGCGCAATTCCCTCCTGAAACCTTGCTCAGCCAGCTGCAAACTAGTGAATTAGAGAAAAGAAGAGCCATGCGAGAGGAGGGAAAACAAGCATTTAAATATAATTTTTACAAAGTCTGATACTTTTTCTGAAAATATTTACAGATAAGTAATACACTATAAAAGAAGTATATACTTAGGAAGATAAACAGTAAGAAGTAGATGGTCACGCTCTAGAGATTCAAAATCACCACTGGCATAAAAATTGGCAGGATCACACACACTTATACCAGCTAGTACTTGATCCAACATCTGAAAACACTCACCAGTTCTGACCCTTAAATTGGCCACGCACCTATCATCCAGACTGACCATCGTCAGGCAAAATATGTGGGTGACAGCATAACATATATGGGTACGGTGAGCTAGGGGGTGCTACCTCGTGTAGCTAAAGAAATACAACCTAGAAGATCCATTATCACATAATATACATTACTTTTCAACGAACTGGTGTGTTTGTAACTCTTAAATAGCTGAAGAAGAACACGTGATGCTCTAAAACTGGTAACAAAACTGTTTGTTGATTGCATCTTGGTGAGTTCTGAAGGTTTTCTCTCTGTCTTTTACGTCATAATAGATAGTTCTGTCAATTATCAATCTAACTGTTTCTACCAAGACCTAATATTAGTTTGTGATGCAGTTTAGACATTAACAAAAAATGTTAGTAGTGAGACACTGAAATAGATTGTGTATGGAAGTTCACTACTCAATGTTGCTATTAAAAGATTAGATATTCCCTGGACAATATACATATGGCTGTTACTGCTTAGAGGTGGGTATTGCATTGATAGCCTTTCGGCACTTTTTTTTTAAGTTTTTATTTACCGCTTCTGGCTCAGGCATTATCACTAGAAGTGATTCCAAATCAGCCTAAGACCTGGATAGCTCCAAGCTTTGGAAGAGTTTGAACAAAGACCCTGACTTTTTAGCCTTTTGTTTTAGCTATTAGTCATCATGCATAAAAACTGATAGCTGAACTTAATTTAACACTGAGTTCATTTCACACGAACTTAAAATTCATGCTCCCAGGGTTGAGCCTGGCAAGGAGGAAAAAAAAGTAGAAAACGTCACCCCATGACAGAATGAACTTCGCCGGGATAGTGCGGATAGTGCCCTAACTGTATTAGTATTCCACTGGTATGACCAAAGTGCTTGCCTAAGGTGGGGCAAATAGATAAGGGGGTCTGAATAAAATGGGGTAAATGGATAAGGATGTCTGAATAAAGAGGCAGAATGAGGCCTTTATTTCAACACAGTGATAAGACTGTTAACTGAGGAGGTGTCACAGCTGCTGTTTAGATATTCTAAAATACCTAAGCTCTTTTACTTTTATATCACTCAAAGTATGCTTTAATATCATGAATAATATACTCATGGGTTTTCTAGAATACTTTAATAAAATACATTTCATGAGATAAAAAACTTCTTCAGCATTCTCTGCAGCTTCTCTTTGTTTCTTAAGGGACCCTGTCCTCTATGAATCCTTTGCTGCTAATATTTACGGCTACATACAGTAATATATATATTACTATACTCTTTTTCTATAGCAATGTCAACATTCATTAACAAAAACCATCTTAAGTATTTTGTCATTCTACAAAATTCCTGTTTTTTCCCCTGATTTCAGCCAAAATGCAGGCTGCCTTTCCATACATGACCATTATTTTAGTGTAACTCCTTTTGATATACCTCATATTCTTTACGCCTCCGGGGTCAATTATAGTTTGCCAAATGCACATTCAGATAAGTGGCTTAATATAGTGTGTTAGAAGTCTCAAGAAAAAATATTGCACTTAACAAATGAAAAATGAATAGTTTCAGAATCATAAGATTTTCTAGACTTTGCCTGTGAGTGAATGAATTTGTGAAGTCTGTAGGACTCCGAAAAGAGTAACACATCCCATTGTACTATGTGCTATACCTGCTACTAATATATATATACACATACGAACACGTGTGTATGTAAGTATATGTATATTTGTATGCATGTGTATATATGTATTTAGGTATAAATACATATATATAATGGGAGAGGAATTAAAAATTATTGTTAACTTGAGGATGCTTTTATATATCTCTTTTGTTCCAATGTTCCAATTCCAAACTACTTCAGTTCAGATTAACCACGCCAAAATTCCAATTCTATTGCATAAAGAATAATGTTTGTTAGTTTAATACACAGCTGTATTTGCAATGAAATATGCAAGTTCCTTCATTTCAGGTAGCCCTAATATGACTGATAATGTCTATACGTAGGCCACTGCCATCCAAATGGGTCTGCAGCAGAATGAAGAGACACTAGTGGGGGAACAAGACGCTGACTGAAATCAATCTTGCAGAGGTGATTGGGCAAAGACCATTACGCGGTTAGAAACAATAAGGTAAGTGATGATAAAGCAATCTAAACCACAGGGCTGAGGCTTCTAGTTTATTTTCTGTTAAAAGTAATTTGTTTCATTTGCTATTATTATACTATTCTTTGAGGGGGATGGGGATGGGAAATCCTTGCTGGCTGCCCTATATTTTACCTCTTACTACATATGACTGCTGTGAGAGTAAGAAAAGATGCAGAGCTGCTCAGATACAGCGGCAATGTGGATCATATAACTACCTTAGACAGACTCTCACTACAACATTATTATAAGTGAGCTGAAATAAAATATGCATCTATTTGTTCAAATTCAGTCTGCATTTGTCCTCTTGAACTCAGTTTCTCCATACCTGAGCCTGGCACAACCATCACTTAAACAAACTGACTTCCACAGATTTGGCCCTTATACTCTAACGAAAGCCAAATACAATTTCAAGACACCGTGTTAGTTCAGCACAAGCCTCACATCCCCATGTTATAGCAGCCTGTTTTGATCAAATGTTTAAGACTTACGATGGTTCTTCAGACACCACTGCTCCTTCTTCCAGCTCTTGAGCCTGCTTATACCATGGCAACTTTGCTTCCACTGGAAGTTTCTCTATGGAATATATACAAGCACATGAAAACAGAAACCATGCAATAACACTGATATATATGTCAGCCTCCTTTCTCTCACTGCATAGACCTGTAATGTACATCTGTGTCCATTCATATGCAGGCTGAGCACAAAAAGAGAAAAGGGAGCAGGAGAGAGAGAAAGAAACTCTGTTATTGCCTGGATTATAGAGTTTATAAAGTTATAAGGCTAGATAGTTTATTGCTACAGCTAGAAAGGCCACGGTATTCTAATACTAGAAAGGCATATTAAGTAACTTTGTAGAATATCCAACTGGGCTACAGAAGTAGTCACTTTGGTAACTGTTTTTCAAAGGGAAACTTGAAAGTGTAATGGCCCTCCACTGCACACTGCAATGGCAAAAGGTATAAAAACCTTGTGGTTACCCTTAAATTTTAGAGCTTCAGAAGAGACATTAAACTTGTTTTTGATGGATTGCAAAAATGAAGAAAATCTTGATTTCATGAGTGATACCACATAAAACAGAGAAACTCTAATAAAATGGCTCAGTTATACTTTTCAACCTTAAGCTTATCAGTTCATCAGCCCTGTGGATTTAAAAAATGAGCTGAATACTTTTTCTGTCATTTCTGATGGAAAAAGGAAATGCAAAGAACATAATGAGTTGCTCTTTTCTGGGGAGTGCAGAGGCATTTCATTTTGTGAGCCAAATTCCGCTTACACGCCGTGTCAGTGTGGATGGAGTACTGGAGCTGAAGGCAGTGAAGCTGTTTTAGCTCTACAGGCATATAAAAGAGTGAGCAAATCTGGCACTAAAATTCCAGAATGAGCTCTGCAATTCAACAGAAAATTCTGGGCCAGCATCGGGGAAAAAAATGAATAAAACACAGTGAAACTCAGACCACTGAGGAGAATCAGGGCCAGGCCTATTTGCCACTCAGAACCCACCTAAGCCTTTTAGGTTTAGGCTGTGCATAGATTTATACTAGTCAATGGGAGTAGATTAATGCCATTCAAAAACAACTGAGAATTTTCTGTACCTGTGTCGTGCACAATACTGAACATTTTATATAAGCACAAAAACTTTCCAGAATGTCAGTAATACCATAGAAGAATCATAGCTTGCAACTTGATTTGACAGCTACTGCAACTTCAATCAAGCAAATTTCCTTGGAGTAAGTTATTAGCTAGGAGAGAAAGGAACAGTAATATAGTTACAACGCCTCTCTCCCAGAAATAGCTTGCCAAGTTCTTACTCTGACATATTTGTTAGTGCCATTTAAGAATGAATATTTGCCAGTACAGCTCTTAGTTTAATCTATATTTTACAGCATTTGTTATCCAAAATATGTAGGAGATGTTTCTATTTATATGCCCTGCAGCTTATTTTATGAGTTTTGGAAAGCCAGATCTTACTACTTTTTCCTTAGATGTAAATAGTTGTAACAAGCAAAAGGTCTCCTGTGAGGTTGCTATGTAACTTTTAAAATAACTTTTTTTTTTCAGAGGTGCATGTTCAACAAGAAACACAGGTAAAGTCAATTGTCATCATCTACACTCTAAAATAAATTGGAGGATTAGAACTGTTAATGTTGTGCAGTGTTCTTTGACAAAAAAAAAATCCTAACACAAACTAAAGAAGAAATTTTAATTTTACAGATTAATGGAAAATCTCTCCTTTTGTAAGACAGTTCCAGGGAAAATAACTTAAGTGCTATGCTATGTAGGAAGTTGCATTAGATGAATACACATCCCCTTTTAAAATCAAAAGTCATTACTTAATCCAGGGACGTCCTATATTTTCCCATTATTGGTGTAAGATTAAGTGCCTCAGTGCTCAAACAAAGTAAAACTGAAGTAAATGACAGCAGGTATTTCATGTTGTTTTTGTTTAGCATAGTGTATTAAAAGAAAGGGGTTTTCTGTATTCTTGTCTTGCTACTTCCGTCAGCTAGGACCACTGTTTATTTGCTTTATGGTAATTCAGCTCCATAATGAAACTGCAGGCTACATTAAAATGTTGAACAGAAGAGAGATACTTTCCTGCCTTTAATTTATGATGTCAGAGTCAGCAACTAGAAGGACAACCTTCCAGCATAGAATCAGAATAATTTGAATTGGAAGAGACCTCTGGAGGTCATCTGGTCCAATTCCTCACTGAAAGCATGATTCAGCCAGCCATGCAGGTACATGTGTCTTCGAATATTATCCCTTGCTTTATAGAGGGAGAGCTGTGAGAGAACTGCAGAGCCAAACCGAGGAGTAAAACTAAACAAAAAACTAATCCAAGAAAGACAGTGTGTGTCATGTGCAACTTCGGAGAAGATGGAAGAAAGAAATAGGCATCTACAGTCAGAAGTGAATGGCATATTTACAGCTAAGGGCAGTATAAGAACTTAACCAGGGTAAAGCTACCATTGCAAGAATCTGCTTCCAACAAACAGCCACTAACTTTGCTCCCAGATAAGTCCTATTGGAAGAGGTTTCTTGACAGATGCAGACAAATAAAGTGCTCTCAGATGATCTTGCAACCTTCTTGAGTTTCCTTGGCAGAAGCCAGTTGTAGGTGGTTTGCACTACTACCTCATTTTTGATGTCTTACTGCATTATGCTCACACTATATACAGCAGGCAGACAGCAGCTTGCTATATCTGTGCTCTGAACACAGTAAACAAATAAAGCCCCATAAATGCAGCAGACTGACTGAGCCCAAGCCCACTAAATGTGCGGAAGAGGCTCAGAATCATGCTAACACATCCATCCGGCTTTTTTCAGCTCAGAACATGGATGCAGTGAGCTCATGCTGACAATATACAGTGTAAACATACCCATTACTCCCCAGAGGCCAACTGTCTGGGTTTCACTACTCTGGTAGCTGGCATGTACGGTGAATTCTCATGTTCCAGATTAACTGGAATCTTTAAACTTGGCAAATTTGTTCATCATTCTGAGTACAGAAAATAAAATTCCAAATTTGACTTTTCTGTCTTGAATCAGCAAGAGGTCACAAGTTACTCTTATTTTATTGGATGTCATAATAAATACTATTAATATACATCCATTAATGCAATACCATTAATATGCATAGTGATTCTTTTTCGCAAAAAGGCATTAAGTTCTTCTTATGATGAGTTTCAAGTCTCCAGTGTGGAGAACCTACAGTCACCCGCATTATTGTAGCCCAGAAATTTCCATAAATTAGTTAACTTTTAAGTAACAGAAGTTATATCCACACAGATATATATGCCCACAAACATACACGCACTTACACCCATGGAACCAAGTGATAACAGAAACATCGATACCTCTGATTGCTGCAACTGGTCTCTGCCCATTAATCCACTCTTCAGGACCTTTTCTAACATTCCTACCCTACGAGAAACTCCAAATAGGAGCCATGCAGAAATGCTGCAAAACTGTTTTCTCCTTCTCTCAGCAAAATGTAGGATATTTTTACCACAATGTTAACCTCTGCCTGAGGTCTAAGTCAAGAAACGTTCAATTCTGTATCCAAGATGAGTACTTCTTATTATAAACTGCTTCAAGTCTGAAAGTCTGACAAACTTTGCAGCCTTGCAGGGAAGAACTTGCTGGGTTACAGTGCTTGACTTATTTCAAGCCTCCAGCTTGTGAGCAGGCTCTTTAAACCTATAGTTACATTTACCTACAATAAATATTAGCTATACATTAAATTATTTTAGAAAAATGGGCCAGATTTAGTCAATGAGGTTAAACCTGCTTACACGAAAGTCAAATTTAGACATCGCTTAGACTGCTGGATCACAGATTAACAGTTTAAATCCTAGTGTTGATAAAAAAGAGGAAAGGGCTAGCATTCACTCTGTCTTGCTAACAGGCAAACTGGGAAAGGAATGGCAGGCCTTAAAGGTACAAATTCAGAATTCAGTGAGCATGGAAACAGTGCTAATAAACAAAAATTTCTGATACTCCTTCTATCTCATTACCTTTAGGTTTGTAGCAAGGAGTGGGTATGATGCATTCTTCTTTTATATGTGGCTTTGTTTTAGGGCTACAACCTCCTGTATGCATCCCCCTGTGATCAATGCAAAGAACCACACGGTATCTGAGCCCCTGTCCACAGGTCACAGTGCACTGAAAGAAAAAAAAAGAAGGAACGAGCACATTATGTCACAAGTGGAAAATAAAAAGGGTATATGCAACAGAAATATGTGAACGTTGTGAGACAAAACAAGATGCAGAAACACCTGACCCTGATCACAAATCATTCATAATATTACGTAGTTTTGGGTAAGGTATAAAACTGACACATATTTTTGCCTTTTCGCTTTGCGTATTTGTTTGGTGTGGACATTTTGCTGTTGCATTTCTCTCGTAGTGCCACTCCCTCAGCATTAGCTGCTTGGGTGGTAGTCATCTGTCCCATATTGAACATGCTCAGTAACACCTTCTCAGTTTCACCTAGAGCCACTCTGCTCTGCTTGTACAAAGTACTGGGGCTTATGGGTTAACAGGGGTGACATTCAGCTATTTTGGAATGTGGCACCAAACAAAACGGAAAATATTTGGGCTTTCTTCCTTCAGACACTTTCTTTCTTTTTTCCCCCACCCATTTATTTTTGGTAAGGTACATCACTTTTTCCCCTGTTCAGAAAGTTTCAGAAATGCTTGGATGGGAGGGAATCAAAACTACCAGCAAGTATGGAAAGCCAGGGATACTACCAAAGTCACTTTGCTCTTAGATAGCAGCTTTCATCTAGAAATCATTAAACACTTTGCAATCAATAAGAACACCTCAGCTGTGGGTGAGCTATCTTTTTTTTTTTTTTTAAAATGATTTTTTTTGTTGAGAAACTGAGGTGGTGAGAAACTAGGTTCAGGATCAAGTCTTTATGAACAAAATTACAGTACTTTGCTACCAGACATCTACTTTCACACACACACAAAAAAACATAGTCAGGAACAGATAAGCTAGCAGAGACAAAAAGCATCGAAAGAAAAGTCAGTTCTGGCTTTATACATGCCTAGCCAATTCTCAGTAATTCATGATATTCCATTTATGGCTGAAGAGATGTAATAAAGATATACAGTTACATGCCCGTGAACAACTTATTCCTTTTGTTTGTGCACTTCATTTATGTTCCCAGTTTATTGTTTCTAGAGGATCAGTAATTAACACGACAGATTTGAATTGTTTTTCCATCATTCTCTTTAATCTTGTTAATCCTATTAATATTAATCCTGAATATTTACTTTGTAGTTAGACAAATAAAATCATTTAAAACAGAGGTCATAATAACGAGGAAGGAAAACTGAGCTACAGATAACGTTTCTACATTGGCAGGCTCATTAAACTATTGGCATTATTCTCTGAATTTAAGATGTATTCTTAATGCATTAAATACAAAATCAACAAAGCTAAACTGATTACCGGAGACCACTCCTGAGCGAGCCACTTTGGGCAGTCAAATATATTGCAAGGCTGGACAACAGGCATCTTGGGAGTGTACATGCATTTCCACTCTTCCACGGGGCTGATATGCCCTTGAATATCTTCCTCCACACATGAGACACTGCGGCTTTGAATACCCCCTCCACAGGATGACGAACAGGCAGTCCAGGGTGTACTTTCCCAGCTGGGAACAAAACAAAACAGAGCGGAGGCTTCAGAAAAACAATTCCTCCTCAACCCCCACACCTCCCCCTACCCTCAGTTGCATAACCCGTTATCTAAAGGAGTTTTTTTCTGATTAATCTGAGTAAAAGTTATTCATATATTTTTATAAATGGCCGTAACAACAAAGCATTCTGTTGGCTCTTGTCTTTAAGTTAAAGACTAGTAATATGAAATCTCTTCTTTCTCACTAACCCAGTGACTACTGCCATAGAAATTCTAATTACTTTTAACTTAATTCCTTCTAATTAATCAATGGGATTATCGTGTCTTCAACAGTTTGCCACACTCTGAGACATCTTTGTCCCAAATTGCTAGAAGTTCAGTGTGCTCTGAAACTGACGTCTCTTTTGCTAAAACATAGTGGAAAATAGTACTCCTTCCTTCTGGTGACATAACTGAATAAGAAAAAAAAATGGGAGGAAATTCTCCAAGAAGAGAAGAAGAGGCTATGACTGATAGGCTACATGGCCTCCGACGGAGAAACCATGCAGGCATTGTTTGATTACAATTGAGACATGAGAGGAATTCAGAAACAACTTTTCTCAACAGGTGCCATTAGAAAATGTAATGAAAAACCAACAGAACAATGCATATGCTCTGACAAGTCATGAATACTTATGAGAATTTTTTTTACAATGATGCATATACAACCATGTATGTATCCTTCTATATGTGTACATGCGCATGTGCATAAAATATAGATTGGTATTTCCTCTCTTATTTAGTGGTTGTTGTCATAGAAAGAGTATGAGACTGCTGTCATGATGTATCTTCTAGCTACTTGGAAACATCTGAAAAATCTCTTATTTCAAGAAAATATTCTTTTGACAACAATTTTTGTCTGAAGTAGTGGACATTTTCGAATTGAAAAAAATCAATTTCATGGAAACCTCCTTACTTCTTTCCTCATTCAGGCAAGAGGGAAAAAAAAGCCAAAGGTGAGGATTTTCTCTCTCAGTCTTAGTAAAAGAATTATTTTTTTTAAGCAATTCCAGCAGGATCACAAAAAAATTAAGCAATACGAATAATGTTTATCTTTCCCTCTGATTTTTCTCCATATCCACCTATCTGATTCTGACCAGCTCCAGTACATCTAGGTACTACACATTCTTGGCTAATAGTTGAGAGTGCCATAAAACTCATTGTGAAATGGCAGATGTTAATAGCTGTTTATGGGTGGTAAAGGCCACCAATTAATCATATAACTCATCACAAAGCAGAACTGAAACCATTTTTACACCATGATGCAAAAACAAATAAGCACTCTGCATAAGCTACAGATGTCACAAATGGGTACTTCTAGCAATGTCTTTCATTCAAATATGTTACTTGTAACTCTTGTGAACAAGCTTCCTAGCATGCAGCTAAGGTTTCTAATTACCATGAATCTAAATATAGAAACTTCACATTGGAACATATTAACAGTAGGAACTGCTAAACCAGCCTCGGCTAGCTTTTCCCATGCATAAAAAGTATCGTGCCTAGAAACCCCTGGAGCCTTTGTGACAAGTTTCTAGACACCTTATGCTACCTCAGCAATATAAAGCAGCCTAAACCTAGGCAAGCAATTTGGTGCTCTCTTTTCATGTTGGTGTAAGATAAGAAAGTAAAAAGTTTCTCTGTCACACTGCTCTTAAAGTAGAAGTCATAGCTCCTTGTGGTGTACGAAGGGTGTAACGTTGACTGAGAATTTGTGAAAGGAAATGGAATACTTCAAGAATCAGGATTTGTAAGAGTGCGCTTAAGTAAGCACTGTAACCAATGACCCCTATCTTTTCCTCTTCGAGATAAGTTTCAGTGCAGAGCATCACATTAGGAAAATCTTGCAAGGACGCCTTCTCAGATTTCCTTTCCACTTCTGGAAAGTTTCTCACTACCCTCTGTCCTTCGTGTTCGGAGCTAGACTCACCAAACAGGTACCGCAGCCAGGGCCTGCTTAGTTTGCTTTTATTTGGTTTGGAATTTTTTGCTTAAATTCTGCAGGGCCAGAGGAAATACAGTTTTTATCCCCCTGACCTGGCCCTGTCTTGTGCCAGCCTCACGGTCTGCTGTTTCTGCTGTCTCCACCAATGAGGTTTGGAGGTGAATATATGGCTGCCTCTCCCCTTCTGGGGTGAGAGAGGAAGACCTGAGCTCCATTTATGGATTCACAGAAGCACACCTGAGAGTGGGCAGAGAGGAGTAAGAGACACAGCAGCAGGGGAACCACAGAGAGAAAGAGGTGGACCGAGGTCCCAGCCAGCAGTTGCAGCCTGAGCTTCTGATAAGAGTCTTTTAAGGAAAATAATGTGCCTAGGAGAGCAGATGTAAAGAGACTGTTACAGGGTGAGACTGTAACCCAGACTAGCTTGAGAATCAGTCTCAGGCCTTTGATCATTTCCAAGGAATGGTATTTTTTTTTGCTTTCAGTTTTGCTGAAGCCAAATACCTCAGGGCATTTTGATCCTTTATTTTGGATTTTCTTCAACTGTGAAAAAGCCTCTGTCCACTGGCCAGTGCAGGATACTTTTTGCTTAAATACAGTCCTTCCACTGCTGAGCACTGCTGATTCATACTCTGATCTACAATTGTTCTCCTGGATGAATTGTTCTCCTGGATGACCTGGATGAAGGGAGAGAGTGCACCCTCGACAAGTTTGCTGATAATACAAAACTGGGATGAGTGGCTGATATACCAGGGGGCTGTGCTGCCATTCGGAGGGACGTGGAGAGGGTGGAGAGCTGGGCAGAGAAGGACTTCACAAAGTTCAACAAAGGGCAGTGCCGCGTCCTGACCCTGGGGAGGAATAGCCCCATGGCCCAGGCTGGGGGCTGACTTGCTGGAAAGCAGCTCTGCAGACCTGAGGGTGCTAGTGGACAACAAGTTGGACACGGGCCAGCAATGTGCCCTTGTGGCCAAGAAGGCTGGGCTGTATCCTGGGCTGCATCAGGTCAAGGGAGGTAATCCTCCCCCTCTACTCAGCCCTGGGGAGGCCTCACCTGGAGTACTGCGTCCAGTTCTGGGCTGCCCACTACAAGAGAAATACCAAGCTACTGGAGCGAGTCCAGTGAAGGGCTACAAAGATGATGAGGGGACTGGAGCATCTCTCCTATGAAGAAAGGCTGCGAGAGCTGGGCCTGTTCAGCCTGGAGAAGAGAAGATTGAAGATCTGATCAACGTGTACAAGAATCTGAAGGGGAGGGTGTCCAGAGGACGGGGCCAGACTCTTCTCCGTGGTGCCCAGCGACAGGACAAGAGGCAACGGGCAGAAATTCCACCTAAACCTGAGGAAAAACTTCTTTCCTGTGAGCGTGACAGAGCACTGGACGGGGTTGCTCAGAGAGGTAGTGGAGTCTCCTTCCCTGGAGATATTCAGAAGCTGTTAGGACCAAATCCTGGGCAATGTGCTCTAAGTGAACCAGTCTGAGCAGGGGGTTGGATGATCTCCAGAGGTCCCTTCCCACTTCAGTCATTCTGTGATTCTGTGATTCCATCTCCTTCTCTTTTGTCAGTGTACATGCCCTCTGCACATAACTGAAATAAAATCTGGTTAACTCAAAGATAGACTCTTAAATTCCACACTAATATTCTAGCTTCTCTATTCCTCATCAGCTGAGCTTTAATTGTTGAGGTTAGGAGGTGTGTATGCGTTCTTTTTTTTTAAATAAAAAATAGAGAAAGAAAAGTTTTCCAGAAACAAGTAACGAGAGGCAAGGGTATTATTTTAGGAGTGTATTTTATGAGTATTTAAAGAGATAACGACTGTGTATATAACCCAAGCATTTATACAGGAAGAGAAAAACCTAATCCACAGAAAATATAAACAGAACATCACCGGAAGTTAAGCATATCTACTTGATGTATATATACAAATGACATGAAAAATAGATAGCAGGTGCCAAGATGAAAAGCAGCCACAATGTTTGCCAAGTAGGTTGCTCTCTTCCTCGTCTTCTTACTCATAGTTTGAGATGGGTCCATGATTTGGCTGGAGATCCTGTATCAAATCTGAATGCACTGTGCTTGTTTACTCAAACACAGAGAGCTCACTGCATTAGGCCTCACCATGGTTTGAGAGAGCTCATTTCCTTAGCAACATGAGATTAACATATTAACTGGAAGGTTCTTTCGGTCATATGAAACTCATTGATACAATAGATTAATGAAGAAGGAAACAAAGCACAATGCATATCCAGGCAGTGTTTCAAAGCCAAATGGTTATTATCCTTCATCTTCCAAATATTTTTTATCAGCATCTGTCTTATCCACAGGTGTTTGAGTAATTACTCATATAGTTACTTCAATGAGAATCTCAAGTGGATCCTCTTACATTAAAGACATTAATTGTGAGATAATGAATAACACACATCAGGTCCTGATCCTATTCCTTCTCCAGATCTCTGAATTCTTAAGAGAAGCCAAAGGAGTAAGGCACCTGGGGAAGGTGTTAACATGGGTTTTCAAGGATCAGGCCTCAACACTAATACTTTCTAAAACCAAAAACTCATGATTTAGAAGCATGTGATTTGTTTGTAAGAGAAACTAATGCACAAAACAGAAGGGTAGTGTCTGGAATTCTACATCCAAAGCCATATAGGGTAGAGTAAGAAGAGAAACACCACTGGACAGACTGAAAGACCCTAACAGCTCATTACAAGTCTCAGGTTTTGGTCTTGCTCAGACATGAGGGAAGTGAGGGAGAAGGAAAGGCAAGAGAGAGAAAGGGGGGAGAAAAAAGGCAGAGAAAGAGAAAGGGACTACGCACTCAGTGAAGCTGCATTACTGCTGCAGCTAAGGTATAATTTTGGTTCTGCACCAGCAGAATTTATAACAACAGGTTAGCACTTGAGCATCTCAGGGTTAATCTGCAAGACAGTTTAGTGCAAGAGAAAAGAAGCATGTGTTAGCCTTGTTTTAGAGCAAAGCAGCAATGTGGAGATGAGGGAAAAAGCAATAAATGCCTGTTAATCCTAGCAGCTGCTTGATTGTTTTACGTACCGAGGAAGGGGATGGTAGAGGTCATAGGGCATGATCTGCTTGTATCCATCACTGTTAGGAACAATAATGCCAACCCTCTGAGTAGAAGGTACACATAATAAAATAAACACTAGATGATTACATTATACAATTTTTTTTTCACATAGCTTCACGAAACAAACAAAGACATTTTACCTAAACTGCTAATACCTTTAAAATAAAACATATGCTTCCATCCTACTGTTTGCAAGTCATTTCAAGAACAAATCACCAGTTAATACTTATGATGATAATACTGTCTGACTAAGAAGCAATCCCCTGTTACAAACTATCCCAATGAACTGCCCAAATATTATTTAAATTGACAAAGTGGTTATCTTCCATAAAAATAAGCTTTCCTACACATAATATTTTCTCTTTTAGAGTCACTGAAAACAATAAGAGAACTTCTGTCAACTTCAGAGAGCTCTGGATAAAACTTTTTTTAGACTATAAGATGGTTGTTTCTGCCCTTTGGATGCAACGTCTGCTTTTACAGGGGCTGGGATTAGAAACTGAGGTCATCCCAGCGCAAGAATTCAAATCTGCAATTCATGTCTCACCATCTTAAAGCAGTCAAATTTCATTAATCTTCAGAGCCTGTCTCTTCATTTGGGGTCCACTGGAAAAGGACTTGGACAGAAAATGTTTCTTTGGCATTGTAGTGACTAATTGGCTTGGCTTGATATGATGCTATTATTATAACAACTACGGGATGTAACATCTAAAATTATAACAGGCAATAGTGAAGATCATAATTAGTAATTTTTTAATGAGTAGTATGCCAGTTATGGATGAAATGGCTATCACTCAACATATTGGCAACCACATGGTCTCACTAAAATGCTAGCCTGGGATTTCATACAGTGTGGGTGGTTAGTTTTGATGCATTCTGACCCAGAATAACCCCCTATAGCCACCTACTCTCCCAATTATCGGCCATGTCGATTAGTGTCAAACGGATGATCCCAGAGCACCTTATATATCACCTTCAACAGCACCACTGTGTGTCAGAGAACTTCAAGGGGGCAGAGGGAAAGACCAGGAAAGGATTAATATCAATTACACTAAAAAAAAAAAGTGTCTCCCAACTCATGCAATGGACAGAGGAAACCGGCTGAAAAGGATGAAGGTGGCTGTTGAGAGGCCTTGTGCAGATGAGAGGTGCAAGGTGTCCCGTTGAGGGTTTCTGTAAGGAGGAAAAAGCAAAAGAGGGGGAAGGGAGAAAGTATTCTCCATCCTCAATGCAGTTCACTGAACAGTGCTCTAAGCATTCAAAGGAGTGCTGTCATGCCTAGGCTAAAGGGATCTATTCTCCTTTCAGTCAGTAGGATTTTTATGTGCATAATTCTTCCATGATAAGATAATAGATCCCATTGTGTTTTCAGAGTGAAGAGTCAGTGCTAGGTCAACATGCTGGAATTTTCCAGCTAATGCATTAGAAGATGCTGAAGCCATGAGAGTGGTGTGTGATGGGGACAGGACTGCTTCCAGTCAGGTTAGCAACCTCTGCAGTCACAGAAGCCCTGTGCTCGGCTGTGTATATCTGCATGTACACAGAGCTGCCTGGCTCTGCAAAAATCTAAAAATGCAAAAAAGACAGTTCTGGTACTGGCAAACTTTTGAAAAGAAGACAAATGGGTCACTTAGAGTATGATCAGTGAGCAAGACTTTCCAGACTTAGCTTGACTGACAAATGGCTGCAGAGGTTTGAAAAACTCTGCAGTAATATTTGAAGAAGTCAGAAGGGGACTTTTTTGAGGCTTTTTTTGCTCATGCTTTTGGAAATAGCTGCTCTTTTCCTGACTCTTCTACCATGGATGCTGAAGTTCTACTCTAAAGCTGTTCACACTTTCCATCTCATCAGCTTGCTGAGGAAGGGATGTGAAAGAGATTAATATACCTAGCTTAGAAATAAAATAACTGTATTACAAAAGCTCCTACTGCCTAGGAAAGGAAAAGATTTTAAAACCTATTTTTCACTGAAAGTGAGAAATATTTCTTTTCTAATAAGCAAGGTCGGTATGCATAACCAAGATCTGCTGCTGCTACATGTATTAGAATGCAGAAAATTCAAGGCCGTTCCAACGGAAATAACTGACCCATATCCAGACACTGTTATCAAGATTAAATAACATCTGCAAAGCACTAAAAAGGGACCAAATTAATATTGCCATTGGAAAGGTCTGACTCTCAAAGAATTTTGCATCCATAAATTGCATATCTGTAAACAGTACAAAGCTCCATGGAATTATTGATATCATCCTTGCACATGTGTGAAAGTCTGCCAAAGACCGATTCTGCCACAGTAAGATAATGGTCCCCAGAAAGGTAAGTCCTATCGATATGGAGAGAAAAAGGACCCCTCAACCCAAGATCCTCAGCATGTTCTTTTAAAATGAAAGTATTTACTTCAGGTAATATTTCACTTTGACTTTTGCTAGTGATGAATAACGATTAAATTTCTGACTATCAAAAATCTACTTGATTTCCACAGAAAAAAAAGCAAACCTAACTGAATCATTTAAAAATCAACTTTGAGAAGACTCTGGTTAATCTTGTACTTTCTAATTGATCAGAAAGACTTAAATTCCATGTGCCTATCAATCCATCATAATCTTACAAAAGAATGGAGGAGATACAGGATTTGGCCTTTGTTCACTGCACATTGCTCAGAGAATGCAAAGAAGATGATGTAAGATCATGTGCTAAATGGAGAGGGCAAATAACGATTCCCTTACTACACTGAAATTCCTGGCTGTTGCGGGAGTAACAAACGACTTATTCACACAACACCCAGAATAAACCTGCTTTGGCAGGAGCAGGCGGCACAAAGCAGATTATTTTGAAGAGTTTTTTTTCTCTTGCGTCCGAAATCTCTCACGTCTCTCAAATCAACAAGCTGTTTTATACACCCTGCAGATGGATTTGTTTTCCTCCTGAACGCTGGCAGCTTCAGCACAACTGCTCTTCCAAGGCATACGTTCAGCTGGAGTGGGAACTGCAGATGCCAGAGTTAGGTGTGCCACATGGCAGTCTGCTGTCTCTTCATATGTTCTGATTCCTCCGGGACTGGTGCACGCAGCAACTTTTGTTGTTGTCTTCCTTTGTAGTTCCTTTTCCTTCATAAACTACTCCCTTAACTGCAACTGATCATCTAGGCCAGCTTTCTCCGTTAGCTCCCTGATGACTCTCCCTCAGACAATGTACTAGCTCTTCACAACTCTTGCTGTTCATGGCTTATCTCCAGTGGGACCCAAGTATGGCCTCAAAGTGGCACCTGCTCTCTGCAGTCCTGATCCCCAGCCTCCATAGGCCACTAGCACCCTTTGGGCTTCACTTCACTTTACCCTTCACTTTTGTTCTTTTTGTTTCCTTGGGGGTGGTTCTACTTGTTGTGCTGTAGGCTGCATGGCTGCACACAGTCCCAGGTAGCTGGAGCTGTTAAATCTCTTTCCTGTCAAGGACTTGCACAGCAAACGCTTAGGCCTTCACTGAAATCTGTGTGACCTGAGAAAAAACAACCTGCAGAGCAGAGACTATGTCTTCTAAGCAATGATATGAAGTACATCTAAGACACTAATAACAATTGGCTAATATAATAATAATAAATAAAAAGTTGAAACAGCTTAAGTTGGCTGTGGACAGTTAATTCATTGACTGAAAGAAAATGCTCAGAAGACTGGAAAAGTTCATCACATAAGACATACACATATGAGCCAGAATTCTCCAGAGAGCCATAGTTATCACTGAACAGAGGACGTACTTATGAGAAAGTCTACGATTTATGACTGCAAATCCTGACACAAAGACAGGATGACACAGCGTGTGATACTGCACTCTCATCTCACACAGCTTTACGAAGACACCGTTGTGTGACATTATCTATCACCTTTCACTCCAAGAACACCTTCTGCCCTGAAAAACAGATACCCAGATCCTTCAGTATACTTCTAGGTAACATTGCCTACTACTGCATACAGAGACATCCTAATTCTAAACTACGCTAGCAGTATGAATTCTATTTGTGGTTTTTGGATCATCATACTTAATCCTGAAATACACACAGTCATATGACGTATCCCTTTACACTCCATCAGCATGGAATCTGACTTGAAGAACTATTACGCACTTTGTATTTAGTGCTTTTATATATTCATAGAGCTTTACAAATCAGTAAAAGCCCATGTCTCCTATCTAAAATGTTTCAAAATGGACTGTCATGGACTGTCAGTGGGTACTGTAATGACCTCCTTAACCAACACAAAAGATTGAGAAAGTAATATTTCTGTGTCAGCCTCCAGAAAGCTTCATACATTTAAACAGCTTTAGCATGACAATATCTCGTCTTTATAGTAAATGACATTGACTTTGTTAGCGTACTGATTTCAAAGTCTAGCAAATGTATGGCTTACTTATTACTATAGACTGTTAAAAGATTAATCTCAGAAACTGAAGACGTAAATTTTTTAAGGAAACATATCTGAAATAGTGAACGAGTGAGCTAGATTGACTGTTTATTTATAAGACTTGAAATAAGTGGTCTAAGTTTAAAGTAGTAAAACTACTCTCTTCCTGTAGCATAGCTGTAATGTTTCTGAAAATTTATTAGAAAGGAAGACACAGAAGTTTCCCATTTTCATTCAGTTTAATATTTTATTGTGGTCTGGATAACTAATGATGGATACAAGGACTAAAACTTGTTGTTATTTTCTAGTACTAAATGTTTACAGCTGAATATCCACTGCAAATCTCAACAGTGAAATATCTGGGTGACACATCATCTTACTGGCTACAGTTTTGGTCTGGTATAGGATTTAATAAAAATAGACTGCCATTATCTTCCCTATAATTTCATTCTGGACAGAAAAATATCTGTATTTGATGCACGTTGCGGTAGAAAATGTACTTTCCTAGCTTACAGCCTATTATCTGAAGCACCTCAAAAGCTCCTTTTTGGCTTTATCTCTTTCTTTAATAGAAATTATACCTTTAAAGATGAAGTTATTCAGCTGTTCATATCTTTTAACATT